GGCAGCTCGGAGGAGACGCGCCTCCCACAGCATCAGCTACGCCGCGGCCGCTGCTCCGACCCCGGAGCCCCGACCACCGCCCCGCCTCGTGGCCCCAACCCGGCTCTCACCCGAGGCCCCGCACCCGCACCCGCGCCAGGTTCCCCAATGCCCTCCGCGGCCCGGAAGTGGGCCGCAAACGCTGTCAGACAGGTGCGTAAGGAAAGGATTCCTTCCGTTTCCTCTCTAGGACTTTCGGAGGTCGGGGCGTCTCGGTGGTCGCTTATCCCTGGGGCCGATTGGGAGTGCGCGGTGGACCGCCAGGGGCTCTTTCCCGGGCTGCTCTCCTCTAGGCTCTCGGTCGCCAGGCCCCTTTGCGCTCCATGCCTTTTCAGCTGCTTTCTCTCTGTGGGAAGGACTCTCCAGACATACACCGGGCGCGGCACCTCCCTCTAGGGGCTTTACAGGCCGGTGGGCCAACGTGTTATTTCGCGTGCCCGGGTGCTTTATGCCAGGCGAAGGGGCCGAGAGTGTCGGAGGAAAGAACTGAATATTATAGGTTCACCTAAGAAGGGTCTCGACCCGGTAGTTGGGGCAGGGTAGTCAGAGAAGGCTTACTGGAGGAGGCAGGACCTGAGCTCGGATTTGAAAGGTGGACCAAAAATGAGGTAATAGTGTGCCCAGCAGAGGGAGCACGACGGGCCCAGCAAGTGGGGAGGAATTAACGTCATTCCCACACCATCAGAGCTACTGGAGCAGACGGTTAAACTAGGTATTTTGGAAGACAACCATCTTTATTTCAAAGATGTAAACAACATTTTTAGCTTACAGCCAGGGCTGGATTTGACACAAGGTCTGTAGTTTGCTAACTCCTGAAGTAGACTATTTTAAACTTATTCTAAAGAGATGTATAAGGAGTTCATTCTTGGCCGCTTTTCTCAGTGATGCTATCTGCTGAGAGTGCAAAGAACAGTGATAGGCTTGGAGCCTAAATAATGGAGCAAAAGTTGGAATATCTGCTGTGAGGAATGATATAGGAAAAAAGTGTAGGGTGAATGGAAAGATTGTCAAGCAACACTGAACACCCCAGTGGAATTGAAAACAAGTGACAGAATCAGTCTACACAACTGTTTGTGCAACCTGGGGGCAGATCTTGAGAAAACAAACAGCTAGATTAATCCAGTATTCAGACTTGTCACGATGATTACAGAAATGCCAAGTGAGAGAAAAAGAGGGCTCTGCTGGGAGAAGGTTGTATTGAGTGAGTGTGGAGTCCAAGCTAAGCAGAGAGTGTTGGAAACCAACAAGAAAAACAAGGAGAAGATGAGAAATCAGAGGTTTGGACAAGGCCATGAAGCAGGTTTCAGGGATTTTTCCAGAAATGTTTGACAAACTAAGTGTAAAATGTGTGTCCTGTCTGTTTTCCATAAACAGAATTATGCTATATTCTGTTCTGTACTTTGCTTTTATTCAGTGAACAATATATCTTTCCAAATCTACACATATTGATCCTATCTCATTCTTTTTACCAGCTTCTCGGTATTTTGATGCATGTATTTCCCATGATTTATGAAGCTTATTGGACATTTAGGTTGTTTCCAACATTAGGATTTAACAGAATTCTGGAATGAACATTGTTGTACATAATTCCTTGTGCACTTTTTGCAAATCTAAAGGGTGAATTCCTATACATAGAGTTGCTAGGTCTAAAAGTTATGTGCATTTTGAATTTTGTTAGCTATTGTGGCCAAATTATCCTGCAAAGAGACTGCACCAATTTCCACTCCCCAAAACAGTGGAGGACAATGTTCATTTCCCCACAATCTCATCAATACTGGATATTATCAAACTTTTCATCTTTACCAGTCTCCTAAGTGAAATGTGCCCAAATTTTTATTTGTATTTCTTGTTCATTTTACTTTTTCTTTGTTTTTGTTTTTATTCTTTTTTTTTTTAAATTTGTATTTCTTAATTATGAATGAAGTCAATCATTATTCCTACTTTTGTTAGTTACTTGTATTTCTTTTTCTATGAACTGGCTATTTTTATCCTTTTCTCTGTTTCTGTTGGGTTATTTATATCTTATTGATATAATGGATTTGGGCATTAAGGGAATTTGCCCTTTTTCAAATGTTTTGCAAATATTTTCGTATTTTGTCTTTTTCTTAATGGACCTTCATGCATTGCAAGATTGTTTTATGGATTCAAATCCATCTTTCCGTTTTTAAAATCTTCTGTGTTTTGTGCCTACCATCCTCCAAGATGATTTTTTGAATCTCCCATATGCCCTTCCAGTATACAGGGTGTCCCAAAAATGCATACACACTCCAACAGCTGATAGCTCAATTTTTAAATAAATGTATTTTAATAAACACTGCCTTTATAATTATTCAAAGTGTGTATATACCTTTTTGGGGATACCCTATATTTATGGTTTTATTTTTAAGCTGAAATCTTATTTCTGTCCGAAATATATCTGGTCAAAGAAAAAAATAATAGAAATCCAGCCTCCCTACCCCCCTCCTTTTTTTTCAAATGGCTAGGAAGCTTTCCTCAACATTATTCATTGAAGGATATATTTTTCCTTATTGACTTAAAAACCCAATTTTATCAAGTATTAGATTACTATGTAAAGTTGGCTTTATGTTTGGACTCTTATTCTATTCTGTAATCTATCTGTATCCTGTGTCAGGGCCTGACAAATTGTTTTAATTACTGCTGTTTTGTGTTTTTTTTAATATATCTTTAGTGATTTCAGAGAGAGGAAAGGAGAGGGAGAGAGAGAGATAGAAACATCAATGATGAGAGAGTCATCAACCCAGGCCCACAACCCAGGCATGTGCCTTGACCAGGAATCGAACCCTGATCACCTGGATCCCAGGTCAACGCTCAACCGCTGAGCCACGCCCGTCCGGGGCTAATTACTGCTGTTTTTATAATATTTATATTTGAAAGCTCTGCTACACACTGGCTCTTCTTTCCCATGGTTTAAAGAGGAGATTTTTGAAGAAAAATTAAAAACATGTCTGAAAACTGCAAAAGAAACCACACACATCTGACCTCATGCTCCTGGCCTCGAGAGATCAGACTACAACTGAGAGAAATGGCGTTATCCAAAAGAAAATATTTCAGAGAAGGTGAGCAAATGAAATCTTTTTTTTTTTTTTTCCTAGCAGAGAACATGGTACTGAATGAATTGAGGGCATTGTGAGGGCCTGAGAAGAAAGAAGGGGGAAAGAGGGACAGGGGTGGGGGTATCTAACAAAAGAGAAATGAAATTAGGGTATTGGATGTAACACAGAAATGGGGATGAGAGGGAGGGAGGTTGTCATTACCATGGAGAGGAAATAGAAAAGGC